TGGGAGGGGGATCAGGGATGGGGCAGGCTGTTGGGACATGGGGGGGGGGACGAGGGGTCTGGCTGTGTGTGCAGGATCTGGGGTGGGGCTGGGGATGAGGGGTTTGGGGTACAAGAGGGGGCTCTGGGCTGGGATTGAGGGGTTCAGCGGGTGGGCAGGGGATCAAGGCTGGGGCAGAGGATTGGGGCACGGGGGGAGGGGCTCAGGGGTGCAAGCTCTGGGCAGCACTTACCTCAAGCAGCTCCTGGAAGCATGTCCCCCCTCTGGCTCCAACATAGAGGTGCAGCCAGGCGGCTCTGCACATGCTACCCTGTCCGCAGGCACCACCCCAGCAGTTCCCATTGGCTGGGAGCCATGGCCAGCCATACTGTGTACTATGTAGGAGCCAGAAGGGGGTCATGCTGGCTGCTTCCTGGGAGCCGCGTGGAGTGGGGCAAGCCCCTGACCCCGCTCCCTGGCTAGAGCGCCGGAGCGGGGCAAGCCCCTGACCCTGCTCCCTGGCGGGAGCTGAGGGCCAGATTAAAAGGTCTGATGGGCTGCATGTGGCCCACGTGCCATAGTTTGCCCACTCCTGATATACAGGGTTTACAGTTTGGTTCAATGGCTCTCAGCACCGCCACTATACAAGTTGTTCCAGCACCCCTGTGCAGGCACGACTTTACCCCTGGGGGAATTCTTCATCACTGCATGTGTGCAGAATTCATGGCCCTCACAGATTTCTTTGCTTCCCTGCAGAAAAATTACTTCTGATGGGGAAACTGCAAGAGCGGTCATGAGCCCCTCTCCGGCAATGCAGACAGGTCGGTTTGGGCACCCAGTAAATCACTGTCAAGGGGTAGGGCTGGGCAGTTGTGCAAGTGAGAGAGAGATACTCTGTCTCTCTCGCTCACTATTGCAGCACACTCGGTGTGGAGGGGCAGGGCTTTTGGGGTGTTTCTGAGGATGTAGGCATGGGGCAGGCTCTGTCCCTTAGGGCAAAGTAGAATGTAGCAGCCTGCCTGCTTAGTGAATTGTTCCCATTGTTCTTAGTGAATTCCCCCCAGGAATATAAAACAGGGGTAAAAATGTTAAGGCTCCTTTACATTGCCAGAGTGGTGTAAAGGAGCCTTATTGTAAAGGCCATAATAGGTATTATAAACGCTTCTGGTGCTTTAGGGATTAAAACTGGTCTAAATTTTTGGACTGAAAAAAATTCATCAAAATGTGTTTCATGAACTGTTCGCTACTGACCTTTCTGGAGATGGTCAGTAGCCAATATAAATTGTGAGTTTGAGTCCCCAGCCCTCACTTGCTCTTCAGTTGCTTATGATGTAACACTGAGCATATGGCTGCATATATTTGTTGACTAATAACTATAAGTAAAGGGTCAATACTAGCTATACTACTATTAGACAAAGAGGGTTTGGGGATTTCCTCCAATGCTCCCCACTCCCATTCTCCATCCATTGTACTGTAGTTTAAATAAATTACCAAAATAATTGAAACCAGTGTGATAATATTGTATTATTTTGACAAATAAAATATGCAGAATTTTAAAATATTGTATGCAGAATTTTTATTTTTTTGGCGCAGAATTCCCCCAGGAGTAATGACTTGCCCAAGATCATACTGTGAGTCAGTGGGCATAGCCTGACCTAGCTCTATGCATTCATCATCCTGGCACAACTGAACTGCTAAAGCCACATGGCTGTGATTGGTCAACACCATCCTGAGCTAGAAAGAGTAGCAGTGGAAGCAGAGAAGTTAGCTCTAAAGATATCACATGAAACGACAAAGACAATGGTGACATCTAAGTCCCTATAAGTCTGGGATCCTCCCACCCCATAGTGTCCTAGAGCCCAGGCTCCAGCCTGAGTCGGGAAGTCTACACAGCAATGAAACAGCCCCGCACCTGAGCCCCGGGTTTTTTTGTTTTGTTTTTTGTGTTGTGTAGACCTATCCTAAGAGGTTTTCTGCCTTTGAATTGAACTGCTAAAGGGGATTGCTGTGTGTTAGCTATACTATGCATATGACGAACGAGGCAGTAATCTGCCAAATTTACAGCATCATCGGAGTGATACCTGATATTATCAACATGATGAGATGAAGAAAACTTGAGTTTTCAGGACGTGTGTGTTGGATGATCAGAGTATTGCCAATGTATGTGTCGCAGGTTCTGATGTCAGGGGCTGGGGGTGGGGCCAGGGGGCGGGAAACCCGTGGTGACATGAAGTGGCTGGCTGGACAGGATGCAGTCTGACGTGCTTCTCAAGGCTGTGTAATGCAAAGCATGGAGGAAGATTGCTGGCCAGTGACTCATGTGTGTTGTGTTCATTGTTCATTGTGACTTGACTCTATAGTGGTTTGCACTATGAGATTGTGTACACAGCGGTGTAATGCAGCCTATGGGAGTGTGAATGGTAGAGTGTGCTAACGTGTTGAGTTCTACCTGCTCCGTGATGACATATTAACATAGTCCAGTTTGAAACAGAATTACATCAGCATGAACTAGGTACCTTTAGTTCGCACCAGCAGGGTCTACACACAGGGCAGTAGGAGCACAACTCATGAGCGCATTCTGCAGTTCACACTCCTGTAATCTGC